CTGTAACAGCCTTTTTGTAAGTTTTATTCTTGCCTACAAGGGAATTTTTTCAAAGGGGATATGTAATACCCAAACTAATATTTTTAAAGGCATATGCTCGGAAAAGCGAGACCCTTGGCAGAGCTGCCGCTCTCAGTCACCAGCCGGTACCCAACCAAAGAACACGTGGCAGTATCTCACAATCTAGTCGGAATTTCTTCCTAACCACCACACCGGTCAGTTTTGTGTAGTTTGTAGCCCTTATAGGACACAGCGACAATGAAGAATTCTGGCATGCTTTGCTCTTTTAGCAACAGGACAACACGCACTTCCTTCAGCAGCCCTTCAAACCCAAAGCGTTGCGCCCACGTGAAGGCTGCAGCAGCGCCGCGGTACCTCACTGACAGCACGCCTCATCACGCAGCTCTTCACCCAGCCGGGATCCGACCTCACACCTCACCATCACCAAAAAAACCCATTTCCACACATGAAGGAATTTGTGGCAAAATAAGCTATTTGGGTACCTTGACTTGTGCAGCGCAGCCTGCTTGGGTTTGTCTCTCGCCGGTGTTTCTGAGACAGGAGAACTGATAGGGAGCTGCTCCTCTGCCTCCTCCTTTCTCCGTCTACAGGCTCAGCAAACCCTTGAGCACATCATCTATTTTATAAAAGGGGGCAAGTTCATGTTCAGGAAGACTTAAGCACGCACCTCGGTGCCCGCTGCCCCCCCTGCAGCGCCGTTCCACGAGACCCCACTCCCCTTTCCCTGGGTTTGCATGCTCCCAGCATTAAGGAGCCCAAACTCTGACGAGGGATTTTGATGTCATTTATTATCTGTGTTACAGTTGCAAGTGGGAACAGGGGGAATGACTCGTTCCAATTTTAGCGACAACTGAATTTATGCCCTGCGTAGAGCCGGCCGATGTAGACATTCCCAAGCCCAGGCTTTTTATAGCAAGCAGAAGCACCCACTCCACCCCCTCAAAAGCCTTTTCTAACTCCCAAAGCCTGCTCACAGCCTTGTGCTCCTCACAGCGAGCGTAACTCCAAGCTGAAGATGCCCATCGTGGCTCAGCCCCTGCTAAATCTGATCATAGAATCATAGAATCACTAGGTTGGAAAAGACCTTAGAGATCATCCAGTCCAACCATAATGGGGTTGGATGGGGGCGGGGGCAGCCCTTTTCCAAGTCAGCTCGTCCCAGTTTGGTTTGGCATGGTTTCTACAAGACCGGTCCAGGGAAAGGCATGTCTGTCCCCGGGACACTCCAGGAGTTTGTTCTGATGCCAACGGGAAGAGCGCTCACCCACCCAAGAGATGTTAAAGGATGAAGATCTCCTCTCTTGGCGACTAGAGTGACCTCCACGAGCCCTGTTAACCCCTACGTCTGAGCCAGAAGGGTCCTTGTTGAAGCAGCAACGAGATCCCTCAACTGCAGAAGGTTTCCACTGGCACGTTGGCAGCGGGAGAGTGCAGGTTACGTTAGCAGTTATCGTTAGCCACTGATTTCACCTTCTCCCTCCTTCCCTCTCTCAGGAAGTCAACGCCGTCACAAGGACACGGTGCAGCGTCCGGGGCTCTTGCGTGGTTCCACACCAGTTCCTTGGGGCACGAATCACATCACCATCCTCCTGGAAACCACCAGCTCAGACTTTGCTGCTCAAACACTGGTCCTGCAGCGGGGACTTCTTTGTTTAATAGCAGCAACCCAGCGCTACGTAATGGAACTGAGCCGCACACCAGGGACAAGTTATCCCAGCAACAATGGCATGAAAGGGTTCTATTTTTTATCCTGTTACGACGACCACGGCACCAGGCTGCTTCTCTTAACTCCGTCTGTTAGGGGCTGCCACCAACGACCATCTCTACGGGAGGGTCGCGAAGGAAGAGACGGGGAAGGTTGACGGCGATTGGCCAAAGGCAGCAGCTGTTAAACAGAGACGTGACCCAGCCTACGTATGGCAACCCCGAAGGATCCAGTTGCGAAAACCGAACTTCAAAAAAACTGGCTGGGTCAGCGGGGCTGGGCGGGAAGGTGGTGAGAAACCCACGCTACGCCAGCTTCCCCTTCGCGGCGCGTCACCGTCACCTAGGGATGCGTTCGAGACGAATTCAAGTGCCTCCGAAGACAACATCTGCCATCCGAGATGACATTTCTGCTCCCCATCCAGCCCTCCGCGCTGCTGCCGCTTTTAGCAACGGGCGCTCGCGCAGTTGGCCCGCGTTGACGGAGAAGATCTGACCCAGCGACGAGAAAAAAGCATTTCTACGCTGGCTCCAACCACTCCTGAGAAGGTCTGGGTGTAATGTTCTCTATAAATCCCAGGAAGCTGCTGAGCTACACTGATGCTGGAAGTCCTGAGTCAGCCCCTACCGCAGGACAGGAAAATCACCCGAAGAAAAAGGTTCCAATTCTCATCCTGCCTCGGAAACAAGGCTCAAACATCCCTCGGTGAGGAGAGCCTCTGACCCTCAGGAGGTATTTGCTGGCCTGGCAACAGGCTTCGCACATCACCTACCTGCCAAATCCGAGCTGGGAGAGAGGGGGTGGATGCAGCCGAGATAAATAAATAAATAAAACATGCTACAGGACAGAAAGACACCGAGGAAGGAAACACGGACTGGATATACATGCTTCGTGCAGTTAAGTAACGAGCCCGTTGCGGTGCAAGAGATCAACCACCGACACAGCAACCGCTTCCACTGTGCTCTTCCCCGTGCCGAAGGCTCCAGCCATGGGCTTCGCCGGCTCTGCTCCAAAAGGGAGCGAACCCCAGTCTGAGAGAGACCAACACAGTCACCGGTGCAAAACACAGAGACTTTAATTAAAACCACGATGCAGGAGGAGGTGGGGGAGTGCTGCTTCGGACACTCAGGGGCCCTGGGTGCTGCTACGTGCGGACCCTGCAGGAGAGGAGCCGAGCCCCAGGACGAGGGATGGACACTGGGAGCCCGGGGAAGGCAAGCAGCTGACTGCCACGCGACGGGGGCACGTCCCAAGCAGGCTGGTAAGACTCAAAACAAGAAATAGCTGCTTCAAGTCCCGAAATCCCCAGCAGGACAGATGCGCAGACTTGGGACAAGCAAGAAACACAGAGCTCTCCGTGAGCCTCCTCCCACCTCGGCAGGTCCCAAGCCCAGGGACACCATCCCCAGGGAGCAGCGGCTGCAGGGGAAGGAACCACCTCCCCACCCTTTTTTTGGTGCTGTATTTCACATTCTTGGTGTCCCTCCCATGCACTGATGTCAACCTTTCCACCCATCCTTCTGCATGGAAGCCCCACTTCCATCAGAGGACCAGGAGAGATGCATTCCCGACCCTTGGGCAGCTTTGGAAAACCACGGGCTTTAGCTCAGCCGTTGCTGGCCAGGCGCTGCACAGCCACGTAAAGCACGGTGACGCTCGCCAAAAGCCACGCGGTGACACGAGGGGCGGCGGGGAGACGCCTGGGATCTCCGCTCCAGGCGCTGGTGGCCGAACTGCTCCGCTGCAGACGGACTCATCATCCCAGCAAGCACGCAGATCTCCAGCACTGCTCCAGGAGCGGATCCATTGGGAAAGCCAAGCCAAAACGACGTCCCATTTAGGAGTAAACCGAGACTTGACTCCAGTCTTTCCATTTTCCTTTGAAACGCGAGTTTAGAGAGTTGTTGCAGGCAGGTCAAAAGGTCCTCACCCCCTCCCGCCCAGGGCCAAAAAGCCAAGTCGGGACTGGACAGTAGCAGCGTGAGAAAGCTCTGCTTTAGCTCTGCAGGCACCTGCGTTTCACTGCCTCTTAATTTAGACTCTTTTCTCGCTCCCCCCTTCCGTGGCACCTGCGAAAACCTTTACAAGAGGGAGTAGGCCTGGTAAAAACTATGGAAAAACCCCGTAATTCACAAGCAGGCTTCCCCCCTTCCCCCCAGCAGTACAGCAGTGCACCAGCGAAAGCCAAGCGGGCTGGCTGGGGCCAGTCCCACCGTCCCCTCGGCGCTCTGCGGGAGAGCTGGAGAAAGAATCCCTGCTGCCCCCCACCCCCAGCAAACCCCTGACCAGAGCTGCAGTCCCCACACCCAGCCTGAGAACCTCAAGAAGAAACATCCCCCCCGGAGCCATGGACCACCTTGGTGAAGCCTGTGGACACGACAGCTCCGTCTCCAACCCAGCACCAGCCGGTTCTGCCCTCCCAAGTGATGCTGGTACGATCCAGACCACGTTCCCGTTCGTCCACCTGCCCTGGAGACACCGCAGCTGGTGGCACTAGAAGCGTGGTCCCTCTGCTTGAGGTCCAGCACAGCAACACCAGCATGGAATGCCAAAAGGAAAGAGCTTTCTCCCGGGATAACCCGCTGTCCTGGGCTATTTATGCTTTTTGTTGCCAGCGCAGGTATATAAATACGCGTAAAGCTGCATGCGTGCCCCCCCGCGCTGCCTTTGCTCTGGGGATGCTTCCCTAAAAGAGCTGGGGAACATGCTGCTTGGTGGGGCAATCCCTGTGCCGCAGGGCTGTGGCTACAACTGATGCCCAAGCGGTAGCGATCGCGGTCACCTC